TAGTTACGTATTAAGCGGCTGAATTGATAACGTAAAAAAAAATAAAAAATTAAAAATTCCCGCCAAAACATATTAAGCTTGAAAGTTATAAAATATTGAATTGCAACGTTTTATACGTTTGTTTTATGTTACATTTTATATGAATAATATTGTTTACTATTCGAAAAGTATTTTTATTATCTCAACTATTAAGAATAAACAGCTAAATCACCGCAGATGCCGTAATTGAATGCAAGATGAATCTCTCAATATTACCAGACCTAGAAGTGTACTCTAAACTTGTGAATGACAACAAAATAATGACCAATACCTAATTCTAACATAATGATGTGGCAAATTCTAACGAAAAACACTATATAGAAGTATTAGGCATAGTCAGTGTGTAAATCCTAGTCAAAGGGCAAGTATTCTCATTGATAAAATGCCGAAGGTGATTGGTCAGTTAATTGTTTTGGGGAGCAGCAAAGACAAGAAATATGGCGCAGCATGAAGAAACAAAATATCCAAACACAAGGTGGGTTATCAACACCAGGAGTGAAATACACAACGGGGTGGTAGGAGCGGCGTGATAAAATATTTCATAGCCACAGATGTTATCACATGAATCTTTTGTTGCATACTTTACCGAACTAAAAGAACAAACATTAGCCTACTGGTTGTCACTGCATTTTTGTGTGGTCTCAGCTTAGGATGTCAATATACACTGATAAATGAGTTGTAGAGAAGAGGCGGGCTGAGGTACTGCTGGTGTGCAACAAGTGAGCAGCGGTAGTAAATATCCCATGGAAGATAAGACAAATGATAACTCAGTTTCTATAGATCACTGCACGTTGTTGCTGTATAGAGTGCTAAGCACCTTTAAAAGTACAATACACTCTGCCCTCACCAGGATTTTTCGCAGGGCGGTTCCAGGGAGAAACTTCAAATTGGGATTAACTCTTTTCATCACAAAATTACAATATTTTTTCTTTTAATGCAATATTGTACTAGGCGTTTTTGTATAGTAAAAAAATAGCACCCACAACTCAGAATATCTCTTAATATCAAGTACATGGCTTCAAAATGACCATCATATTGATCAGATTCAGATTCAGATTTGCCCCGAGGGGGCTAGTTTTATTGGGCACCCCCCAAGGTTCCCCTGTGCAAGGTGAAGCGCAGAAGCGTTTACAGCGCCCAACAGCGCTGGCGAAAAGTTCATACTTGCCTTTGGCGACTCGTAACATGGGCGGGTGTGTGGGCTCTAAGTGGGTCATAGGTTTTGGCTGCTGGTTATGTGCTGGTAATGAATGGCGTAAAGTTCCGGCACATTTTATCTGTTTATGGCAAAGAGTGCAGGTCCTTAATAATGTCAAATGCGGCTCAGTAATTGGTAGTGAGGGATATCTGGTCTGGGAGGAAGAGTTGTTGGTAACGGCTGGAGACCTGTAGGAGGAGGTCATAGGGCAAGTGAGGATGTAGTGGAGAGAGGGTGAGAGTCGGTTGGCCACAAAGCTTGGCTAAATAGCAAGTATTTGCGCCCAGGCCAATGTACCACATAGGTACCTGCACCCTAGGCCATCATATTGATCAGATTAAAAATGTGGGGGGGAGGGCGTTGCCAACAGCCTCCTGTGGGGATATTTTGTAGTTCGTACGCTATAGTAGCACCAAGGAAAACTGTATACCCCACCGGGTTCACGACTCTACGTCTCTATATTTCTTTATGTGAACGTATACCTGCATATTTCATATACAAATGCAATGTAAAACATGTATAACAATTTGAATTGAATACATACATATATATATATACATATATACATATATATATATATGACATATATATATATATATATATATATATACTATTATTATAATTTCTTTATTATTATAACGAAAATCGTACTTGACTATTATAAATGTGGTTGTATTGTAGGGAGAGGATCCAGTATCTTGGCTAAGGTTGATGCGCTGGTATGGCAACAGTGTTTTTGAGTGTTGTAATGTCTTGAATCCAAAAGCGGATGCTTACAACGGTGAAAAAAACGGCGATATGAGGTAATTTACGAAACCCATTGTTGGTTTTAAAGTGTCTCGCCCACTTAAGTCACCTACATGATGTAAAGTAGATGGAAAGCTATCAGTAGAGAGAGAAGAGACTTGGGAATAAAGTTTATGGTGACTCGTGAATTCCATGCCATGTGTAAACAAATCAATGGTATTTATTTGGTATCGACACGGATTGTTTGATATTTATTCAGGAATACTGTCGCACATGATTTTAATTGACTTAGCATGTATGACCGTGCTGGTTTATTGCAAATATTTTGTGGGTACTGTGCATCTAATTGTTACATACGTGGTTGGATATTTTACGTGAACGGGCTTAAGTTCCTACTAACGCTATTTTACGGTGCGCTCTCATTAGCTAACTACTTTCTGTTTAATATGATTGTCTGTCGCTGGCTAGAAGTTAGGTAGGCTTTTGGTTGGTTAGGTCAGGTTCCACTGGTGGTTCTAGTAATGTTGGCCTATTTTATAATGTTAAAGTTTCTGTACAAGAAATATAGTTAGGTATATTTACAGCTACAATAACGATTGGACTCACCACAAATAAAGGCCAAATGCTGCCAGCACATCAAATATAGTTTCGTGTTTCACCTGTAATAAAAACGACTAACCAACAGAGTGGAAAAAATATCCACTGCAGTATATACTATACTGTACCAGGAAATGAAGAAGAGAAATTAAAGAATATCAATCAGAAAAGAGGATGCTTTAAGAAGATAAAAATAAAGAAGACAAAATCCCCAGGGCCAGATGAAATCTGAAGTTTAAGAGGGCGAATGACATGATCTTTGTGAAATGTACTAAATCATTAGACACGGGAGTTGTGGCAGACTTGTGGAAACAGGCAAATGTACCCATATTTAAAAGGGGAGACAGAGCATCAGCGTCCAATTACTGTCGATTAGTTTGACATCAATTGTGGGAAATTTCTTGAAACAATAATAGCAAATAGCATCCGAAGGCATTAGAGAAAAGAAAAATAATCACACTCAACATGGGTTTACAAAGGAAAATCTTGTTCTAAACAAATCTGCTAACGTTAGAAAAGTCTTCGAGGTAGTAGATAATGACAAAATTACAATGTTATTTACTGCTGACAGAGTGCCGATCAGAGGCTTGAGAAAAGTTAAGGATCATGGTATAGAGGGAAAGTTTTAAATTATAAAATCATGGCTCATCGATAGAACACAGAGGGTCAAGGAGATGGTGTTAAATTTGAGTGGGGCCGTGTAACCAGTGGGGTTCCCTGGAATGTGTACTGGCCCACTTTTGTTCATAATCTACATAAACGCATCTAGATACTGGGATCAGCAGTGACATAAGCAAGTTTGTGGATGACACCAAAATAGGGCGGAGATTAATTCACTGCAGGATACAAATGCACTAAGGAGGATTTAAATAAACTGTAGGAGTGGTCAGGAAAATGGCAAATGAAATTCACCAACAAAGTGCAGCTGCATTTGATAAAGAACAAATACTGTCAATGTATACAGCCTTAACAACATCAACCTAGAGAAGTCGACGCAGAAAGAGACTTAGGGTACTTGTAAAGTCCGGACTTATGGCCTAGAAAACAGTGAGCGCTAATGTTCGAAATAAGCAAAACAGAGTATTAGCTTTTTATATCTAGAAGTGTAAGTAATAAGAATGCAGAGGTCTTATTGCAATTATATCTTGGCGCTAGTCAGGCCGCACCTCATTATGCTGTTCAATTCTGGTGCCCTTGAATGATATCAATGCTGGAGTCGGTGCAGCGAAGAATGACGAAAATGATTCTAGATTTGGAAACCTTCCATATCAAGATAGGTTAAAGAAACTAAACTTGCATTCCCAGAGAGATCTAAGAGTGCGGGAGATATGATAGAAGTAAATAAGGGTGAAATGAATCAATAAAGGAGATATAAAGTTTTTTAATTTCTGGCGATAGGACTCGTGAGCAACGGTAAGTTGGATAAGTTAAGGTTTAGGAGACAGGAAGGTCTGGGTTCACAAATAGGGTGGTGGACGAGTGGAACAAGCTTATCAACTTTGTAGTGCTGAATGCTGGAAAGTTTTAAAAGAGGCCAGATAGGTTCATGAATGATAGAGAGTTAGTAACTCTATTGGTGAGCTGCCATGCACAGGCCAACCGACCTATTGCACTCCTTTATTTTTCTTGTTCTATGTACTGCTTGTGCTGCCACTGTTCTTGTATTCAATACAGTACCCGTACATGCTGAATTGTATACATGCATTGTTTTGGTCATCCAGTGAATTTTTAGGATTTTAAGCTTTAGAATCGGTATTTTAGACAATTCTAAGACTCGTTTTTCTGTACTTCTTTCTTCCGCAAATGATTACTTCCTAGAAAATTGCAATAAATTGTTGCAAAATTGTTGTATTTTTCTAAGTTCTTGTTCGTTACCACTGCCCGAGATAGTTTTGTGTGTTTCTTTGTTGGTTAGTACAGTATGCTGCATTATGCATGCGCTTAGGCTGACACATGCCCAGTTATTTTGGACGTTGATTGGCAGATATGATTTTGGATCAACCAATCACAGTTCTCGGTATTTGACCCGCTGCCAATTCTCTGAATTTTACAGTAATCTCTCGATAGCTCGGCACGTATGTGGCTCTGGACTTGCCGAGTTATCCCAAATTCCGACTTATTGAGGCATCTCTCCTACAAAAATACAATAAAAAATATCGACCCATCTACAGTAAAAGTAATACTTACCAGCACTGTAGGTGAAAGTATGAAGTCATAGTAGGTACACAGAGGTATGGTAGCACACAGAGGCATGGTAGTACACTGAGGCAGTAGTTGACACAGAGGTATGGTAGGTGACACAGGTATGGTGAGGTGACACAGAGGTGTGGTAGGTGACACAGAGGTATGAGGCTTACACAGATGTATGGTAGGTGACACATGGTAGGTGACACGGCATGGTAGGTGACAGATGTATGGTAGGTGACACAGAGGTATGGGTAGGCTGACACAGAGGCATGGTAGGTGACACAGGTATGGTAGGTGACACAGAGGCATGGTAGGTGACACAGAGGCATGATAGGTGATAATGTATGGGTAGGTGATGCAAGATGTATGGTAGGTGACACAGAGGTATGGTAGGACACAGGCATGGTAGGTGGCACAGGGGTATGGTAGGTGACACAGAGGTCAGGGTGCATGTAGAGTGACACAGGTACATGGTGACAGAGGTATGGTAGGCGACACAGAGGTATGGTAGGTGACACAGAGGCATGGTAGGTGACACAGGTATGGTAGGTGACACAGGTATGGTAGGTGACACAGGTGTAGGGGTGACTAAGGGGCAGGACACAGGGTGATAAGGTGACACAGGCATGGTAGGTGACACAGAGGCATGGTAGGTGACACAGGTATGGTAGGTGACACATGTGTAGTAGGTGACACAGGCATGGTAGGTGACACAGAGGCAGTGTAGGTGACACAGGTTAGGCAAGACAGAGGTGGTAGGACACAGAGGCATGGTAGGCACGCATGGTAGGTGACACAGGATGGTAGCATATGTAGAAGTGCATGTTTGGGCATGATGTGCAGGTGACACAGGCAGTACAGAGGTATGGTAGGTGACACAGAGGCATGGTAGGTGACACAGGCATGGTGGAAGACACAGGTATGGTAGGCGCAGGTATGGTAGGTATGGAAAGTACACAGGCATGGAGGTGACACAGGTATGGTAGGCACACAGGCATGGTAGATTGCATGGTAGGCGAAGACAGAGGCATGGTGAAGGGAAGGTGTATGGTAGGTGACACAGGCATGGTAGGTGACACAGTGTATGTAGGTGACAAAGGAGGGTAGGCACACAGAGGTATGGTAGGTGACACAGGTATGGTAGGCAGGTGACAGAGGTATGGTAGGTGACACAGAGTGTGGTAGGTGACACAGGAGGTATGGTAGGTGACACAGAGGTATGGTAGGCACACAGGCATGGTAGGTGACACAGGCATGGTAGGTAGACACAGGCATGGTAGGCTGACACAGGCATGGTAGGTGACACAGAGGTACAAGCAGGCATGAGTGTGGTAGGTGACACAGGTATGGTAGGTGACACAGAGTGGGCAGACAGAGAGGTAGGCACGTATGGTGAGAGTGACACAGAGGTATGGTAGGTGACACAGGTATGGTAGGTGACACAGGCATGGTAGGTGACACAGAGGCATGGTGACACAGGTGTAGCATACAGGTATGGTGAGGTGACACAGGTAGACACAGGCATGGTAGGTGACAGGTAGGTGACACAGGAGGCATGGTAGGCACAGAGGCATGGCAGGTGACACAGGCATGGTAGACAGGGTGGGTGACACAGAGTGGGAGGCAAGTGCAGTAACACAGATAGAGCAGGTAGGTGACACAGAGGCATGGGTAGTGACACAGAGGTATGGTAGGTGACAGATGGGGACACAGAGGTATGGTAGGTGACACAGAGGCATGGTAGGTGACACAGGCATGGTAGGTGACAGGCATGGAGGTATGGTAGGTGAACAAGGTGTATGGTAGGTGACGAGGCATGGTAGGTGACAGGCTAGGTGACCAGAGGATGGTAGGGGAGACATCAGTATGGTAGGCAGACACAGAGGCATGTAGGTGACACAGCGACACAGAGGCATGGTAGGTGACACAGGTATGGTAGGACAAGAGGCACAGGTATGGTAGGTGACACAGGTGTATGGTAGGCACAGGGTGGGGTAGGTGACACAGGTGTAGGTGACACAGAGGTATGGTAGGTGACACAGAGGAGGGTAGGTGACACAGAGGTATGGTAGGTGAGCAGCACATGGTAGGTGACACAGGTATGGTAGAGTCAGACAGGTATGTAGGTGACACAGAGTATGGTAGGTCAGGTGACACAGAGGCAGTAAGTGTGAGAGACACAGGTATGGTAGGTGACAAGTATGGTAGGTGACAGAGGTATGGTAGGTGACACAGGTATGGTAGGTGACCGGAGGCATGGTGGACACAGGTA